TTGTAAAGAAAAAGACCAACAGAATAAGGAGCTTAAGGAATCCCCATATGTACTGGCTTCTGAGTCGTTGGGAGACTCAGAAAATTTGGAGCAACTTTTGAGGACAGATCCTAAAGCATTTGTTTTAAGTTTTATGACGAAAATGGACAATCGAGGCTGACAATAATAATATCAGTATGATAATGAATGGAGAATGAAAATGGATAATTGAGATTGATAAGGACTGGGGTTTTTGTGGTTGCAACTTGTTACTGATGAAGATTTGAATATTTATTGTGTTTATGGTGGATGGAATTTCTTATAGTGTTTTTTGAGGGTGGAATTTGCTATAAACTGTCTATTTAGGATGGAATCTGATAAGATTTAAATGAGTATAAAGGTGTCTTGTTTTTTTTTTTCCTTTTTTAAGTTTTAAGTAATGTATAAATTTGTGTTTTGGGGGAGTTTATGAAAATGATAATAATATTTATGATATTAGAAGGATTGGAGTATATTACAATGTGTTTAGTGTTTTGGGCGGGATTTTTAATGTTTAAAGTTTTAAGTAATGTTTAGATTTGTGTTTTTGATTGACTATAATTTGTTTGTTCTAATGTTTCAAGTTTTGATTGTTTAAATTTGTGTTTTGGAGGGACTATAACTCGTTTAACTAAATGTATTTAGATTTGCTTATGATTTATGCTGACTTTATATTGTAGTTATAGATGTTTAAAGAAAGCAGTGCTTAAAATTGTGTCTTGGAAGAAACTTATCTAGAAGGATGGATAATATTATAAGTAAGATTAGAAGATTTTTAGAGTATATTATAATGTGTTTATTATTATTTTCTAGAAATAATTCATTTAATTTAAGGTTCTTAGGATTGTTTAGGATTTATAGGTGTCTTAAGTTTTATATGTGTTTTAAGTTCTTTTTCTTTTTTTTCTTTTGAAACATTTTGGATAAGCCTGTAATCAACTCTGGGAGGTTCAGGGGAGGGTTAGGGAGGTTTGGGGAGTTGGGGGAGGGTATGGGTAGGTGGGCGGGTTTGGGGAGGGGATTTATTTTGTAAAATGTTAAAAATTCTCAATAAAAAAAAAAAAAAGACTGGATTACTGTAATGCGCTCTACATGAGGCTACCCTTGAAGAGCGTTTGGAGGCTGCAGTTGGTTCAGAATGTAGCCGCGAGAGCGATTGTGGGTGCACTAAGGTACACCCACGTGTCACCTATCCTCCGCGAGCTGCACTGGCTTTCTGTGGGTCTCCAGACGCAATTCAAGGTGTTGGTTATCACCTTTAAAGCCCTTCATGGCTTAGGACCAGGTTACTTATAGGACCGCATACTGCCGCATAATTCTCAGAGACCGGTGAGGTCCCACAGATTGGGCCTCCTTCAGGTCCCGTCGGCCAGACAATGTTGGCTGGCGGGCCCTTGGGGAAGGGCCTTTTCTGTGGTGGCTCCGACATGATGGAATCAACTTCCCCCCGAGATTCGAACTACTCCCACCTTGCTGGCCTTCAAGAAAGCCATTAAAACTCTCCTGTTCCGGCAGGCCTGGGGTTGATGTCCCCGGGGGTGCTGGGATACGATTGGGACATGCTGTATGAATGCATTTATTTTTATTGTTATATTTATTGTTTTAATTTTGTACGCTGCCCCAGTTTCCTTAAAGTTGGACCCCACTGTCACTCCTATCAGAGTAAAAGCAAGGAGAGTACCTTTTGCTTTAAAAGGAAAAATTGATACTGAATTGGACAAATTGAATCAGCAAGGAGTCTTAGAACCTGTTGACTCCAGTCCTTGGGAAACTCCCATAGTCACGCCTCTTAAGGCTAATAGGGACATTTGCATCTGTGCAGATTACAAATGCACTCTAAACAAGGCATTGCAACAACATGCATATCCTGTACCTGTAGTCAGCCATATTCTGGCCTCCCTCAAGGGGGGGGGGCATGTTTTTGCAAAGCTAGATTTTGCACAGGCTTATCAACAGTTACCTGTTGATGAAGCTGCTGCTGTAGCACAAACCATTGTAACACACAGGGGGGCATTCAAAGTCAAAAGACTACAATTTGGAGTAAATGTGGCTCCTGGAATTTTCCAAAGAGTAATGGAAAATACCTTGAGGGGTATACCAGGGGTTTGCCCCTATTTTGATGATGTCTTAATTGCTGGAGATTCCACTCAAAATTTAGCTGAGAGATTGAGGGCTGTCTTGCTGCGGTTCAGGAAAACAGGCCTCAAGCTTAAAAAAGACAAATGTAAAATTGGGGTGCCTTCTACAGATTTTCTGGGATTCAAAATTGATGCCACTGGCATTCATCCTGCTGAGTCTAAATTAGAGGCTATTATGCAAGCTCCTAGGCTCCGGCCAGTCAGTACGATGGAGGGTCACCGGATTCAAGGGGGCATCTACATCCTGGTCTTCCAAGCCTGGCAGGCGAGCTCGCAGGCCAGGTGCCCACAACAGCCCTAAGAAGATCAGAGCGAGCAAGGGGTCCCCCCAAGCATTTACAAGACTATGTAAGGTTCTTGTCAATTCCAGGACAGGCCTAATAGTCTTGTGAAAAAATAGAATGTATGTAAGGGAGGCTTAATAGTTCTCTTGAACTAAGGGCACACTCAGAGTTGGGGTGTTTTGTTTGATAGAATTAAACAATATGTGATATTTTTGTAAATATGAGAAATATCATGACTGGGTCTGCCTGCGTGCAGGCATCACTGTGTTAGAAATAACAACATGCTTAACTGAACACATGTATATGTATGCTGCTATAAAAACAGTAAGTATTCACTTATTGTTTTATCCAAGGGGGGAGAGGTGTTATGTTCTGGGCCTGCTGAATGACTCAGCAGGCTCAGGAGGCTGTAGAAGGCCCAGGCAGACCATGTGGTTGCCTGGGACCAGACAGGCTGTCTCCAGCCTTATGAGCATGTACAAGGTAGGAGACTAGCCTTGCATTGATAGGCTGATGCTGTCCCTGCAAAAGGGAGTATAAAAGGGCCAGCGCCATTTTGTTTGCTGTTCTGTTCTGTTTGTGATCTCAATAAAGAAGTTATGTTTTGTTACTCCTGCCTTGCTTCAATGTCTCTGATTCTAAAACAGAACAGGTAGTTAATTTGGAGGGGCAAATTCATTTAAACCAGCATCATAAAGGACATTTAAATACTCATTCATCTGGGAAGAGGAATTATATGGTGCATCCTGGCTTTCGTCTGTGCTAGAATATCAATTAGCAGAGGATTTTTTTTCTTTTACAGTTTACATCATTTTTCCATTTCCATTTGTTGTTTTATTAATTTCATAAAGACTTGATATCTTTAAGTTGTAAAGTTCATTTTGAAGAAAGGGGCCGCCTTCCAGTGGTGGGATTCAGCCAGTTTGCACCACTACGGCAGAACCGGCAGCTAATTTTTTGTTGCCCAGGCCCAGGAGGGACTTCTGGAAGCAGCATTCACACAGAGAACCAGTTGTTCACATATTTGAATTCCACCACTGCCACCTTCCCTATAAGCTCTGTTGCATGTAACTAAGTGAACTTAAGATTTTACAGATTTTTTTTGTCAAGCCAAGGTTTATGCCCCTAAGATAATACTCTGAGTAATTAGAGACTTCACTTTTAAAGACCTTGGAATAGTAGTAATCAAGTGATGAAATATGTTTAGAAATTTGTACTGAGACCCTGGATTAGATAAAGATTGTTTTAGTTGGGAAAACAATAGAAACCAAAGAAAAAAAAGAAAAGTAACACTTTTTTGACCATCTTATTTGAAAACTGTTGTGGGTAGTTATATTATCCTCATTCTCCTGTCTATTTCCCACAGAATCAAAAGCTAATCTTGCAATAGGAGGACAATAACCACTATCTGAGTGGAAAAGAGCCTTCAAATTGGTAACAATTGAGTTACATATGAGGATTTGTGATTGAAATACTGCGTAAAACTAATTTGAGGGAAGAGGACCCTATTTCAGGTAATTCTTGTAGACGTCTGACTTCTCAGGGGAAAAAGCATTACTTCAAACTTATACTTACTACAAATTCTTAACCTAATCATTGATTACACAAGATTCTGAAAGTGCCCTATAAGAGATCAAACAATGTAGATCTAGACCTGCAGAACAAGAGGAGGAGAAGCACTTGGCATTGTAAAACTGACCATTGTTAACAGGTTTTTACCTAACCCTAATTATTTATACATTTTGTCTTTGTCCCTCATACAAGGGCTTTTACTCTAGCATGACCATCATCATTATAAGCATCATCATGGTTAATGCATGATCATCACGGTCTAGCAGGAAGATATAGCAACCTTGCCTTCCAGGACTGGATTGGTCCTTATCTGAAGAAGGGCATAAGTGTTCAATCAGTATCTCAGACTCCGCTCAGCTACCCATTGTACTATAGTGTCACTCAGAATTAATATTGCTTCTTATAAACCATTCCAACTATATAACGTAATGGTATGTTGAGAATTTACAGAATACTTTAAAGAAACTGATAAATCCTCAGATACCTCAAAAATGTTGCTCAGTTATGAGCATGAATTACATGATTATTTTCATAATCAGAACTGTATTTTTTTAAAAAATGAAATGGTTATGCAAATGTTTGGCAAATAAAACTTGGTAAAAATATGCCTTACCACATAAGGGGTACTTCAAGATTATTCCATCAGATTTCTACCTCTTCAGCAACTTCACAATAATTAATGAAGTGGAACTGACACATGGAATTGACACCTATGCCAACTGAACAATTATTTTATGCCAACCATACAATAATGGTTCTGTAGTAAATTATATACAGAACAGCATTCATTTTTAAGAAATTTTTGAATCTATTTGTGTTGCATCTATTTCACATATATTGTATACTGGCAAGTATTTTTTAAAAAGTTTGCTGTTAGCATATTACAATAAAACAGCAAATATGGTATTAAAAAGCTTAAAATACCTACTGTAAGATAAAATTATATGAATATGGCAGGCATTTTTTTAGTTTTTTTCTTTTATCTTACCTTTACAAACTTTGCAACATCTTTTAGATAAGGATATTTGTTGAGACTCAGGACAGTTCAAAGCAGGACAATTCAACTCCATTGTACGTTGCATTTTGTAATTCTGTTGAATCAAGATCATTATTTGTGTTGGCTATGAACTATATTTTTGGCATAATTATATCATTCAATAAAAATACAAGTACATAATTAATAACCAGTTGTATTCACATTAATCATTTATACAGAACTATTTGGAATCTCTTGGTTATAAATCATTTTTGTGCTATTTATTTTTATTGATTCACATGGATTTGTTAGTCAGATGTCATCTAGTTCATCACGCTGTTTGTCATATATTCAAATGTCATACCTAACATATTTGTGTGATTTTGACAGAAGTAGAAAGTTCTGAAGGCTGATAGAGTTTTAGTATGTCTGCTTATCTTAAGTATATAAAGCCATATGCCTAGCTAACTGAAAGAGAATTGGGAGTTCCCTGATTATTTCAGGGTTCTTTTTTAAATTCAACTAATCAAACTGTGTATCTCTATAAAACCACATTCTAATTTGGCTGCCCAAGGCATCTCCCTCAAACTGAAAATTGGAAGCCCCAGCTATTTATTAGCAAATGTTTATTTCCTTCCCTCTAAATGTCTGTCACAAAAAAGGCACCTTGCTGAGTTGTAATTAAAGAAATCATTGTCTCTATATCCAAACTCTGAGTTGATTGTAACTGGTAATTTTAATGCAAGGATGGGTTCTGATGATAAGCCATTTTTTCTTTACATTTTAACTTTGATGTTTTAAGCTTGTTCCACAGTATAAAGCCACCAAGAAAAGGAGATAGAGGTTGGTCTAATTGATTATTAAAAAATGATCTATAAATCTTAAATGGCTCAGTGCCTGGCAATCCAGAGGGAGGTCTTATCTTCCATTGACAACGGGCACAAACACAATAAATTAATTCTCCTACTTCATTCACTCAGCATAACAGCATTCATTCACTATTAGCTTACTACTAGTACTAGGTTAATTTCTCAGAGCATATTAGAGACTATTCAGTTTAGGCACCCTCAAATTGAATTGTACAACACACACACACAAATGTTCTAACTATTCTAGCTGTTAAGGTCTAATGCCTCATCTGTTCAGAACCCTATTCCTAAAGTTTCCTAATTCTGCTTTGATAAAGAATGTAACAATAGCTAATTTTTCTATGAGCTATGCTACTGAAACTTCTGCCATGTATTGTTGCAGTCTCCTTTTAATAACTGTTGCTCTGAGTGAATAACTCTACGGTTGGTTGAGTGCATAACTGAAGTCATTAAAAAGAATTGAGAAAGATAAATTATATTGAAGAGGAGTCTCTGTTAACTCTGCTATTCTCATGCATTAACTTAGTTCTTTAGGATTCTCCTTTTGTCATTAACTAAACATAAAATAGCTGTAAAGATACAACTCTGCAGCACCAAAAATTATGGCTTGAGAAAAGAATAGGACAACAGTTCTAACCCCTCTCCAATTCAAGAGTGAAGTTGGACAAATTATGAACCCAGATCTAAAATTGATAAAAAACCTTTCAATAGAGGGTTAGGGAAAAAAATAGTATATTCTTCAGAATGCTGCTATCAAACTATGAAACCTACTGTCTTTAGGGCCACTACATACTTCTAGCTTGACAACAGTGCGGGAGAGAAAGAGGGGAAGAATTTTGAGTCTACAGGTGTTCCTTATCAATGTGAGAGCAGTAGCCAGTTGAAGAGTTGTTTTGGCAAACTAAAGTTTCTTCTCATAATAATTACTGGAAGATATATTAGACAATGTGACCTGAACTGTCAGAGAGGGGAGGAAAAGTTTCATTCTTTCAATTAAGTGCTTCCCACCATTTTCTCAGAGCTAGCTTTATTTCCATCATACCAGTTTGCTAATGCCTAATAAAGAATACATTAGACAATGCAATGTCTCTGGTGTTTTGCTTTGTTTGGCTTTTCAGTCACAACTTGACACTAAGCTAGCTCTCTAAACAATTCCAATTGCACTAAGGGGTCCTGAGTCCCTACACCCTCTGGTAGCCTCCAGAGAGTTAGTGAAGACTCCTGATGCCTGAAACAGAGAAGCCGGCTGGAGCCAGATTGGGATCAACCAGTGAGACTCCAGCTGGGCCCGAAAGCTGCTTCGTAACCTCATCTTCATAATGTCCTAAGTAGCAAGTTGAACGTAAGGACCCAACCCCAAGCCTGGAATGGACGAGTGGAGCGTTCAACCAGCCGAGTTGGAGAAATGGTGAGAGGAGTTATGGAAAGCCGCTGCAGCCAAATTCTCATTGTACTGCCCTCAGCCCAAATGGGGCAGAGAGCTGGAATGGTGGGAGTGAGGAGCTTTAGAGGAGACAGACCCAGGGAGCGCTACTTGCCAAGGTGTGGCAGTCAGTCGGTGGAGCAACTGAGGCAGAGGTTTAGCAGCCTAGAGGTCCATGGAAGAGAGCCGGTCCCCCAAAAGGTCTCAGCTCTGTTCCTGGCACCAGCACCAGCCCCTTTGCCCTGGCACTCAACAGGAGCAGCAGCCATGGGGCTGGGAGAGCAGTTAGCCCACAGCCAGGGTTACCTCCCAGTCCAGGACAAAGAGCCTATAGCCTGCCACTGATGCCTCCTCCTCAGCCTGAGGGGGGCAGATTGGTGGCCACTACCAACCCCAGGTATGGGGTTTGTCCATGGATGTACCCATATGGTGGGGTCTGGATGCCTGGACCCTGGCCAGCACCAAGCCCACCTACACCCCCACCACTGAAGGCAACCTTTTATGGGAACCCTGAGAAGCTGGCATTCTTCCTCAATCAAGTCTGGACCCACCTCAACCGACATGGAGAAGATTACCCTGATGATGAGGCCCAGGTGGATGTCATGGTGGTCAACCTCGAAGGGGAGGTGGCAGAATGGGTGACAATTCTCCATGATAAAGGCACCCCCAAATTGGCAGATCTGGGCTCATTTCTTTGCGGTCTCAGAGCCCAATTCAGGGACCCTGTGCAGATCCAACAAGTGGAGGTAGAGGTCTGCAAGGTCAATCGGGAGTAGACCCATGACTGAGTACATTAAAGATTTCAGGAGGATTGTGGGAGGCTAGGTACTGGCCAGAGCAGCTCTTCACCCTATATTTCTGAGAGGGGCTTAGCTGCAACCTGTTCCACGTGTGTCTGGCCTGAGGAATCCCAAAACGACTTGGTGACTGGTACCAGCTAGTCATCACTGTGGAATTAGACCTGGTGGTCTTCAAGGACCATGGGGGCTTTGGATCGCAGCTTAAGAAAAGCAAGAGAGGCGTGCTTTAGGGAGAATGCCACCAGCAGCAGCATCCCTTGTTCCTGCAGGACTGTCTGACTGCACCTCCATAAAGTGCTTTTGCTGTGGCCAGGAGGGTCACATGACCGTGATGTGCCTGGCACCAGCCCCTCGGGTGGCTCCCGCAGCCCCAATTCTTTTAAAGCCAAAGAAGCCACTGAAGAAGGGGAAGGAGAGCAAAGGGGATGGAACTCTGACCAAAGAGAGACCACTGATGATCCTTTATGATAGCAAGAGCAAGGGCATGGATGACCCAAAGGTGAGTGGATCTATCAACCACCTTGAAGTTAGGGTAGACATCAAGGCACCCCGCTCAAGGGCGAGGGGGATGGTAAAGACCCTCATAGACTCTAGCTGCTCCCATTGCCTAATTAGTGAACCTGCAGTGCAGAGACTAGGATTACACATGAGGAAACCTATGAAATTCAAACAGGCTGATGGCACGTTGATAGGAGGCAAGGCCACTTCCCATCTAACAGAGCAGATACAACTAGAGTTGGAAGACCACCAAGAGACTATTCATTTTATGGTTGCCACAAAGATGGCAGAGGACATGATTCTGGACCTGGCTTGGGAGAAAGCCTCAAAGCATATGATTATGAGGAAGCAGGCCCCGAGCCCCCCTAACAAGGGAAAGGGGCAGCCCGAGAAGGGGGGGAGAAAATCCCTGAGCACAGAAATCCATCCTGAAGGAGTACTGAGGCCTCATGGAGACATTCAGCGAGAAAAAATGCAATGTCCTCCACCCTCAACATCCCACAGACTGTGCCATCAAGATCCTGCCTGAGGCGAAATTCTCTAAGCCAAAGATGTATTCCATGACTCTGAAGGAGATGAAGAAGCTGAGGGACTACATTGATAGGAACCTAGCGAGAGGGTTTATTCAGGCAGCGAAATCTCAAGTAGCAGTACCAGCACTCTTTAAGTAAAAGAAAGATGGGTCGCTGAGACTATGTGTGGATTTCCATGGGATCAATGGTGTGTGTGTGGAGAATATGTACCCCCTCCCTCTCATGAAGTACATGCTAGGACATTTAGCCAAAGAGAAAGTCTTCATGAAATTAGACATCAGCGAGGCATACTACCAAGAGAGAATTAAGGAAGGTGATGAGTGGAAAACAGCCTTCAACTGCCTCCTTGGTAGCTATCAATTCAAAGTGATGCCATTTGGACTACAAGGAACCCTTGCTGTGTTCATGCAACTCATAAACGAGGTGCTGCATGAGCATCTTTATAACAGGGTTCTAGTGCATCTTGAAGATATCCTCATTTACAGTGAAACCATGAATGAGCATGTGAAGCTTGTGCAACAAGTGCTAAAAAACTATTGAATGCTAAATTGTACACCATGCTGTCAAAATGCGAGTTTCACAAATCTAGACTTGGACTACTGTGTGTCGTGCAAGGGAATAGAGATGGACCCGGGAAAAGTTAAGTCCATCTTGGAGTGGCAAGCCCCTCACACCCGCAAGCAACTGCAAAGTTTCCTGGGGTTTGCCAATTTTTACAGGCAATTCATCCCCTCTTTCACCAAGATTGCCCTGCTGATCATGGAGTTGTTAAAGACTGGAAAAAGGGGGGATAAGCCCCAGCCAAATCAGCCCTTGAACTAGTTGATGGAATGCCAAATGGCATTTGAAAGATTGAACGGGTTATTCGCCACTGAACCAGTGCTAAAACACCCAAACCCCAAAGAGTCTTTCGTGATCCAGGCAAATGCCAGTGATATGGCTGTGGGAGCCATCCTCCTCCAATACAGTGGGGAGGGAAACTTATAGCTGTGCACGTACACATCTTGTAAACTAAATGAAATGGAACTGCAGTGGACTGTGTGGGAGAAAGAGGCTTTGGCAGTACGGTGGGTGCTACTAACTTTGAGGCAATTCCTGGAAGAAAGCAAAGCCCCCTTTGAAGTGTAGACTGATTAAAGAACTTAGAAGCCCTGAAAACCCCCCACAAACTTTCTCCTAAGCAAGTCAGATGGGCACAGTATTTCAAAAGATTTGATTTTGAACTAAAATACATCCCATGAGGGAAGAATTTCCTGCATGCCCCAATACAAAAGCACCCAGCAGGAGGTGGTGAGCTCTGTCATTCCTAATAGGCAGGAAGCAGCACAAGTGACAACCAGATGGCAGTAGAAAAAGGGGAGCTCAGCCCCCCCCCACACTGATACATTTGCATAACAACTGAAGCAAGAGCTGGAAACAGATGCATGGTTTGTGGCTTATCAGAAAAAGCTAACCACGAGGGAGGGGTTGGTGTGGAAGGGGGACAAATTATATGTCCCACACCACCTGTAACTACAAGTCCTGCAATGCAGCCATAATGCTAAGTAGGCAGGCCACTTTTGGTTCCTGAAGACATTGCATTTCGCAAATTTCAGTTCTGATAGCCAAAGATGAAGAAAGACATTGAGAACTATGTGGGAAGCTGTGCTGTTTGTGCAGGCTAGCAAAAGACTATCAGAGAAGAGTCCGGGGCTGCGGCAGAAAGTGGCTGACCCGACCAGACCCTGGGAAGAGATAGCCATGGACTTTATAGTGGAGCTACCTGAGAGTGGAGAGAGCACTGTGATTTGGACTGTAATAGACCTATTTTTCAAACAGGCACACTTCATTGTCTGTAGTGGCCTCCCCTCAGCCCAGAAATTAGCAAAGATGTTTTTGCAACATATCTACCAACTGCGTGGAACACCTAAATGCATCATTTTAGATCGTGAGTGTCAAGACTGATTCGCCTTTCACCTAGATTTTCTCTTTTCTCATAACTTGACAATGATATGCAGGGGGAGGTGTGGTAGCTAAGCAACCAGGAGCCCAAGGCCAGGTCTCAAAGGAGAAATGGACTGTATCCATAACAAAAAAAATTATTACTATTGGACAATGTGAACACACGGTGGGTGGGGGTGAGGGAGTCTATCATTTAACTAAGTATGTTTCCAAGCAGCAACCCCAGAGCTGGTTTCACTTTCTTCTGTGCCAATGTGGATTTTTCAGTAAAATATTATAATCTTGATAAAATCATGTCCCAGGAGTTTCTTTTTCTGGAAATGCCTACTGGACAGTTGACAGTGGGGTTCACTTTACTCTTAAGTTCTGGAAGGAGTTTGTGAGAATGATTGGGTCCTCTCAGAGGATCAGTTCTGCTTTTCATCTGAGTAGGAATGGATCCGTAGAACAAGCTAACACCATAGCAGAGCAGTACCTGTGCTGCTATGTCAACTATCAACAAACAAATTGGGCAGAGTTGTTCCTATTTGCAGAGGTGGTGTATAACAACACAGTGCACAGCAATACTGGTTTCACTCCATTTAAGTTACAACAGGGGTGGAGTTCATGCCAATACCAAAGTGCCCATAGAAGCCTCCCTCTTTGAGCACTCTAAGCGATTGGGTGGGTTCATTCCAAAGGGTCTGGAGCAATGTGAAGAAAGCTTTAGCTAAGGCAGCCGAAAGTCAGAAAAAACAGGCAGATAAGAAATGAGCTCTGCAGGAGACGTTCCATGTAGGGGATAAAGTGTATCTGTCTACAAAGTATCTTAAGCTGATACAAAGTTGCAAGAAGTTAGGGCTGGAGTACATAGGTCCTTTCCCAATAGTGAAAGTAGTCAATCCAGTGACAGTAGAGCTAAGACTACCAAGGTTGTTGGGTAAAGTGCACCTGGTATTCCATTGCAGCTTACTGAAGCCATTCAAGGAATCCACACTGAGATCAGTAGGGATGACGGCTCCTGCCCCAATAGTGGTAGAACAGGAAATGCATTATGAAGTTAAGCGAATCCTCAATTCCAGAATCCACCAGGGGAAATTGCAGTACTTAATCAATGGGAGGGTTATCCAATGTCAGAATCTAGATGGGTAAAAACCCAGCACGTAAAAGCGGATCATTTGGTAAAATGATTCCACATAAAATACCCCTGGAAGCTGGGACTACTACAAGGGAGAGATTAGCAAGCATTGATGTGTATTCTTTTTGTTTTCCAGGTTCCCTTTCCTTCTTAGGGGGGGCAACATGTCAAGCTATGAAACCGACTGTCTTTAGGACTGCTGCATGCTTCTAACTTGCCAACAGTGTGGGAGAGAAAGAGGGGAGAGTTTTGAGTCCACAGGTGTTCCTTATCAACGTGAGAGTCGAAGCTGTTGAAGAGTTGTTTTGTCAGACTAAAGTTTCTTCTCGTAATAATTACTGGAAGATATATTGGACAGTGTGACCTGAACTGTCAGAGAAGGGAAGGAAAGTTTCATTCTTTTAATTAACTGCTTCCTGCCATTTTCTCAGAGCTAGCTTTATTTCCAACATACCAGTTTGCTAATGCCTAATAAAGAATACATTAGAGAACACAATGCCTCTGGTGTTTTGCTTTGTTGGGCTTCTCAGCCGGAACTTGACAGCTGCCAAGAAAAAATGGTTTGGACTGTGAAATTTGTGTTACAAAACTAATAGTTATTGCATTCGGAAAATGGGGGAGACTGTCAGATTGGACCTTCTAGGAAAATCTACAGTTCTTCTAGCCAACAATAGTGCATCAAAAAAGTTTTCATGAAAATAAGTGTAGCTGTATTTCCAGACCAAACTTCCTGGAACATATTTCTCTTTAAATATTCCCAAAACATTGCCTTTCATTAGTATAAAGGAAGTTGCTAGAGTGATAACACAAATCTCATTATCCTCTAAGAGTGAACTCAATAATTCATTAATGTAGCAAATATTTTCTTTATGTAACATTCAAAATATATTCCCCTCATCTTTTAAAAGAGATCTAAAACTGTTCTGAAAGAATGCAGCTCTACTTTGTATAGGATGTGCATCAAAATTAATGGCACTTAGGATACTTAAGTTTATTTCAGTGGAGTTACCCTTATTAAATATTGTATGCAATTTTTAAGAAGGATGTTCCACTTGAAAATGATATGGAAAAATGTACATCAATTTGAAAAGCCATAATTGTCACTTTTATAACATCTTCTAAAGTTTATTTACAAAGTTGGAACAAATTACAGGGGAAAGAGAAATTAAAAGTAATCTTACCTTGCATTCAAACAGAAAACAGACCTCTGAGCCTAAATATACCGATTTTCTTTCTCCTTCAAAATAGGTTTTGCCTTCAAATACACAGATTGCTATAAAGTTAAAAAAAAACAGAACAATACTCTGGTACTTAGATTCTATATAATTATACGATGCTCCAAGGTATGTTTACACCACATAACAGAAAACTCTAGGTATTAATCATTTAAATATCACTTAGAAATATAGTAATTCTTACTAGCAGCTAGAATTCGTTAATCACTATTGCATTTTTATGTGAGGGAATGATTATTCAGGCTAGGATCATTCTGTTTTCCTCTTGTTGCCAAGCAAAAGAGACAGTAAATTTATTTACTTAAATAGAAATAAATATTTACTTTTACAACTTATATTTAAACAAGAACCTGTTAAACCTGAATCTATAAGCAAGTTATTATTGGTGTCTTAATGAAAATGTAGGCAGTATATACTTCATTTTATTTTAAAGTTTGCAAAACACTTTTGAAATATAAATAGTATTATGTATTCTATTTATGTATACATATATACATAATAAGCATATGATTTAATAAGCAACAGAACAAGATGGCTACGAAGTGTACAATACATGTTTATTCCCTCCACCCCGCTTACCAAGTAATATAATTAATATTCTAATAAGATCATGTCTTAAATCACTCCTGAGAAAATACCCTGAGATTACATAAACCTTGATCCTTCAATTAAAAATTAAAAAATCCTACTTAGATATGTTTTAAAGTAATCCATAAAATTAGGTGATAGGAAGAAAAGCAGCAAATCTGATTTGCAACATATAATTAAATAGTCTCTGAGCATTACTCATAACCATAATCTTTTTTTAAAAAACAATTTTTATTATTTTTCCATTTTACATCAATAGAAGCTTAAGATCCAGCGTGGAGATATGGTGGTCAATTACAAAGAGAAAACAATAACATTATATATATATAATTCACACAATATTTCTTAAAACTTCCCTCTCTATCTATGTAGAAATTATAATCAATTAAATTCAAATAAATTCATTCATTAATATATCTAAATATAAATTTCCTTAATCAATAAAAACTTTCAACTGCTCAATATCAATATAATAATCAAATTAATACACTCCTATAGCCAATTCATTCTTTAATATGTTGCTATATATAAATTAAATGCTTAAATCAGAACCAACGCTCTCTATCTATTTAAATTATTGGAATTTCATTAGTACATTTCTAACATATATTTTCATTAAGTATATTGCCAAATATAAATTTCATTAGTCAATAATCTTTTACAAAAGCTCCTTATCTAGCCCAAATATCCTGTTTTAAATTTTATTAATTTTTCCAAATATTTAAATTTAAGCTAACCTAATTACTTAAGTATTTCAGGGCTCCCAAATTTCTCTTATTCAAACATATTAGCTCCAAAACTAAATTCCTACATTTCTCAACTATATTTCTATTCTTTTTCAATAATTCTCCAATTATTAATTCCATCTCATTCCAAAACAAAATCCACAAATGGGAAAAGAAAAAAAGAAAAATATACACACAGAAAAAAGAACACATATTCATGCTATACTTCAATATTAAATTCTAAATCATTTCATAATAACCTCCCATTTAGCACAAACCAAATCCAAAATAGTCCAAGTCGCTGTAAAACCTTTACCATCCATAATTATCATCTCAAATTTAATATTTATATCTTATTCTGGGTTTCCTTCTATTCCAAATAGGTTTCCATAAGTCGAGTCTCTAGTTCCGCAAATAGCTCTCCCATTGTCTCCTGCCACACTGTACATAAGAGCAAGAGATCTCCCATTATCCATTTTCTTAGGCTGGTATATAGTCATTCTGAAAAGCTCGTGCCAAAACTTAATTTCCCATCTTTTTCAGTGTTGCATAAATTTTAGTTGGAATCCTTTTTTTGGTATGGTCCCCTTTAGTAAAGTTTTGCTCTTCTTCCAATAGTTTTTCCTCTCTCAGAAAGTCAAATGGTATCTGCAAATCAGCTTGACCTTTCGAATTAAGCTCCTCCATTTCCATATTATAGGACATCTGACCATTTATATCAAGGCTTATTCCTGGTATTGACTGCAAATCCAACTGTACATTTGCTTCTTCCGTCTCAGTAAGCTGAGAGCAAGTCTTTTGAATACAAACTACAGTTTCATTTAAAGCTTGTGCTTGACTTTGTCAATGTAAAGAAATCTCCTTTTTACAAGCAATTATCATCTCCATGTTTTCTAAGATTTTATCCAGAATATATTTATAAATAGAGTCTGAACAGGTTTCCTCCATTTTTATCGTATTTGAAGACATTCTCTTTTTGGGGGGAGACTATATTTAAACACATCAATATCCATCTCCTCCCAAGTTTCTTAGTCTATTTCCTTTATGCAAATTCCAAGAGAAAAGAACAACAAAAAAAAAATAGCAAGAGCGATATGTAGTTTCAGCAGAAGATGTCCCCCAATGAGTACTCAAAGTTAATCAAATAATCAGTCTTTTCAGAAAATATAAAAAAATAAGAAAAAATAATACTCTCCAAATGCATAGCCTCTTAAGTCTCTCTAAAAGAAAAATTGGGGGGGGGGCTCCAATGTATTCAAAAATAGAATCAGCCATTAAAACAAAAATAGGTTTCATTCTTTTCTTAAGCTTCTCCTCCCCCCATTTAAAATGCTGCTTCAACAAAAATGGAAATAATTCCAGAAAAAAAAATTTTCACAGGAAAAAAAGAAAAGAAAATAGAGGTAAAAAAAATCTCACCAAATCTTCCATGGTGGGTCTGCTTGCTTAGATGATCTTATGGTTTACGGTTGACACAGCTAAATGATCGGCCATTTTACTGGCCAATCTTTACCCTGTCAGCCCAAAGGAGATACTCGGTGCACAGAGGATGCTGCCGCTCCTCTGCAACTATACAAGAAGCCTCCTCAATGGTAGATGCTCCTCCAGAGAGTCTTTTCGACCCTCTAAGGGGTCTACCAGCAGGGGAAACTCAATTGGCAAAGGGACGATGCCCTTCACTTGACCGCACCGCCACAAAACCGGAACCAGAAGCCCGGGAATTAACCATAATCTTATTGTAAGGAACCACCTCAGCTAACACTCCAAGAAAGCAGAACTCTTGAAACAGACATTGTCTCAAAAGAAACTTTTATTAAGGGTTAGTGGCAGTAGGGAAGTCAAGGCGAGATCTGGGGAAAATCCTGCTTAAACGGTATAGTTAAACTAGCAATTTTCCTCCTCCCACCGAAGTCATAATGTCCATTTGAAATCCAGCCAATCCACAGGTGGCATGATGTTTGGGTAGTTGGCACAGTTGGCACACATCTCAAGGTCTTCTCCAGTTTTGTTTCTCCATAACTGTCCCCCTGATAAAGGAGACACATTCTTCTCTCAAGCGGGTGGAGGCAGGAGAAAAAAAATAGAAAGTGAAAGTTATCCCAAGGGAAAGCAAATCCCCCACCCTCCCAGAAGAATGGCAGGCCCCAAATAAAAGCACACATATAGGAAAACAATAATGGTTTGGGGATCTGACATATAGTCCCCCTAGAAGAATGGGAAATCCACATAGAAAACAGAAAAAGGAAGGGGAAAACAAACAATATAGACATTTCAATGAGGTTTATCAGGATATTTAGTATGAAAACTTTGAGAAGTCTAAAGTCTAAAAATTTGAGAAGTCTAGGGGCCCTAACATGTTTCTTGTACACCCATTCATTCTGGGTGGAAGAGAGATTCTTCCATGCTACTAGATATTTTGTTACCCCATGATGTGTATGAGAGGGCAAAATGTCTTTGATTTCAAAGTGCTGTTCACCCTCAACCACGATAGGCATGGGCACCTGAGGTGCAGGAGGCCTAAGGCTAGAAGTAACCTCCGGGTTGAGTAAGCTGCAGTGGAAAACAGGGTGGATTTTCCGTAGGTTCTTTGGCAAGTCCAATTCAACCGTCACAAGGATTGATGATGCATTTGTCAGGAAAAGGTCCTACAAACTTAGGGCCTAATTTCTTTGAAGGTTGTAAAGATTGCAAATATTTAGTGGAGAGGTTTACTCTGTCTCCAACTTTATATGGGTTTTGTTCCTCCCTTTGTTTATCAGCTTGAGTTTTATAGGCTTCCCTAGCTTTACCTAGAGCTTTCCAGACTACTGGCCAGGTATTCTGTAACTGTTTAATCCATTCCTGCAGAGAGAGGATTTCAGGCTCCTTAGTAGGGAGTTCAGGCATAGCCATGAATGTTTGACCATTAGCTACTTGAAATGGAGTGAAATCTGTACTGGAGTGCACAGCATTATTATAAGCAACTTCAACAAATAGCAATAAGTCTGATCAATTGTCCTGCTGATAATTAATAAAACATCTCAGGTATTGTTCTAGAACTGAGTTCAGTCTCTCTGTCCCCCCATTCGTTTGAGGATGGTGGGAAGATGACAAGCCTTGACTAAAACCCATCAAGTCCAGAAAGGCTTTCCAGAACCTAGAGGTGAATTGAAGCCCTCTGTCTGAGATTATGTGTTGTGGGGCCCCATGAAATTGATATATGTTTTGCACAAAGAGTTTAGCTAAATTCTTTGCAGTTGGGATCTTGGGACATGGAATGAAGTGAACTTGTCTAGAGAACAAATCCATTATGACCAAAATTACAGTGTTTCCAGCACTTTCAGGCAGTTCCACAATAAAATCCATAGAGATCTCTCTCCAGGGTGCTGACGGATTGACTACCAGTTGAAGCAGTCCTGGATATTTCCCTTGTTGCCATTTAGCTGCTGTGCATGTGGGGCAGCTGGCTACATAGCTTTCTATGTCCTTTTTCAATTGCCTCTTAATGAGATGTAAAGTTTTTACAAATCCAAAATGTCCAGCAGTTTTCGAGTCATGCCCTGCTTGCATTACTTTAAGTCTTAAGGCTGCTGGGACATAATGTTTTTCTCCAATCCAGGCTAATCCATCTTTTACCAGACATAGGTTACTATGATTTCAAAACCAGTCATTGGTTTCTAACGAACTTTTAAAATTCTGTAACAAAAATTTTTCCACAAGGGCCACAGGTCTCGACTGGGCCCTGG